ACGAGGGTAACGGGCATGCGTGATCCGACGCACGAGTAACATGCCAGCTAGGGTGGGAGCTCTAATGGGAGTGTACTAACCAGTCGAAGAAAGAAAGAGAAAGAGAGAGAGAGAAAGATAGATAGAGAGAGAGAGAGAGAGAGAGAGAGAGAGAGAGAGAGAACGATTATGCCGAGCTTTATAACAAAACGTGTGATACGTTTCAGTATTTTTTAAATACCCGGTAGATAGGCTCTTTTTTCGGTTTTTCTTCTTTTTTTCCCTCAAGAAAAAGAAAAAGATAAAGAGAAAGAGAGAGAGAGATAGAGAGAGAGAGAGAGAGAGAGAGAGAGATCTTCTGTTGAGAATTGGCTTCTTTCTTTCAACGACGTCAGAGATTTAAAGGAGTACCACCTCATTTAATCGTGATTTCCTAAGGTAACTCTCTTTTCAGACTTGCAGCCGCCACCGTGAATATTTCAAGGTGGGATGACGACGTATTTTCTTACTTTTCTTTTTATCCCCCTTTTTTCAACCCTCCTCCTCGACCCCACGATCCCACTTCCCCGCGCCGTTATAAAAAGAAATATCGACAAGGTAAAAACGGCCAGGTGGTAAAACACGTATGTAGATGTCATGCGTCAATAGCCACGATAGATGAAAGCCAAATTCTTCGAATGTTTAATTGAATGAAATTAAAATAGTATAGATTTTCTACGAATGCAAGTTCTAACTCGTGATGATTTTTTTTTTGGTATGTTAAGCTTTCTTTCTTTTTTTTTTTTTTTTTAGTTTAAATTATATCATTTAAATGATCTTTTTTGTCATAGTAAAGAAAGAAAGAAAGAGATGATATCAACATTTATTCGTGTACAAACGCATTAAAACTTAATGGCCCATAAAGGTGAAGAATTGCCATTCTAAATTATCATGAAATACAAATTCGTTTCTACACGATCGAGTAGTTTTACGAGTACCGAACATGTATATGAGAGTTAAAATAAAATGCTTTTAACTCACCAGCCTGCAATGCCGTTCGGTTGAATTTCTTGTAAAAATATACCAAGCTCGCCTTTGTCTTTACTGCGGAGACCAACGACACTGAATCCTAAACTAGTACCTTCTGGTTTGTATAGCTGAAAATATGGAAATACAGAATTTTATTATACAGAATAACGTCAAGATTAATAATGCATTCATATTAATAAAATGTATTATTTGAATATCTTACCTGCACTGTACATATCTGACGCCCTCTTGCTGCAGCCTCTATCACCTTTTTGAACTCTTTGGCGTAGGTTGGGGTCGTTATAGGTGGCATTCCCATAACTTCTGAAACCAGACTAGGACTTGTAACCTGTAACAAAGTACATGCCATGCAGGAATAGCACGAGTACATTAAGCTGAAATGGGGGAGGGAGGGGAAGATTGTTGTAACCTACCTGTGCGCTGGTGTCTTCGCTGCTGCTATGTAACAATGGAGCAATTGGTACTCTTTGATCATCCAATTCGCTACTATCCGGATATAAATCTTGATAAGCAATTGGTCCTAAAGGTTGCACAGGAGTATTTGGAACAGAAAGCTCTAATTGCCCGCTGATATTAATATCAAAATCTCCAGGAAGAATGGATGGATGTTGTCCTAATTGACTATTCAATTCAAGCAAAGAATCCTGTATGGTGACTATACTTCGAAATACGGGATCTTCCAATAAGGAAATTAATGATTTGAGATCTTGGGTGGTATGCATTTGTAATTTTGGATCGTCACAATCTTCTACACGTTCTTGAACATGCTCGAGCAAGTGAAGGGCCGTGGATATATCTAAAATTATGAATAAAATTGTTTACGTTATAGGAGATATGAAAAAGCAATCATATAAATGGATATATTAAATGTTTGTAATATTAAGAAATATAATAATTACCTGCGCTTAACGACATTTTAGTTTTCTTGTTTTATATATATATATATATATATATATATCGTTCAAGCTTGTACAAAATCCTTATCGATCCAACTCTAGAAAAATAAAATACAAAGGATTGTCATTGAGAAAGAAATCAATAGAAGAAAAAAAGTAACAATCTTAATAATATTCTTACGTTCTTAACCTCAAAAGAAAGAAATGCTCGATGACACAATGTTAACGAATACATTTCTACTATCATTATTTGAAAAAGTAAAAAATCCAATCCTGATCGCGTATATCATGCTGATTACAATTAAAACTAAACTAAGCTGGTTTAATAGCAAATCGATATTCGTTTATGCAAAACTAATTTAGAACTATTTACATAAAATCGATAAGTATCTCTTACCTAATAACTTTATAAAAACGTTTTTTTTTTTTTATACAGGATACACCAAGGATAAAAGTATAATTCAGAAGAAACTTTAGGATCTTACGGTTGTTATATATTACAACAAACAAAATACCACCATCAAGGCTCACGATGAAAACTTAATCGCATCTTGGTATCAGCTGACAGGATCCAAAGCGTCCCGACGTTCAACGCTTGATATCATGGAGGGCGTTTAAGGCGCATGCACTAATGGCGCGTAAATTCAATTGCTTATATAATCATTTTCGATCGTATACAAGCCGTAATAAGAAAAAAACAAAAAAAAAAAACACAAAAAAAAAATGAATAAAATGTAATCATATAATTATAATTAATAATAATACCTTCACGATATCTTCCATGTCTACATTAGAAAAATAATTAAAACGGTGCTTGGACGAGTATCAGGAACGACGACATTCTGTGCGACATAAGTTTCGTCTGAGGATAGGAATACTACTAAACGATATTTACTATTAATTATGGATTATCGATTAATATAATACATCGTCGACTTACTTTAACCACCTTACGTTGTCTAACAAACAAGTATACACCTTACAACACTGTCTTACTGACAACCAACTGGAATTTCTTCAAGATGGCTGCGTATAAACGAAATGCGCGCGCATATCGAATGCGCAAGAAGCCTCGTAGCCAGTCAGTCGACCTTCCTTCTTTTTTAACTTCTCATTCGTTTGTTTTCTTTCGTTTCGTTTGCTCGTTATTTTTTCTTTTTCTTTTTTTTATTTGTTTAAAATTCAAATATCCATTACGTACGTGTATATATATATATATAAATATATGAGAATATGTCGAAATATTTCTATAAAATCGAGCGAATCAAATGAAATGGTCTGGAAAATATTGGTGTTAATATATTATCCATATAATCAAATGGTTTCGAAAGTATATTATTTATAGGTTAAACAATATATATATATATATATATATATATATATATATATATATATATAAATGTAACTATATTGACGCAATGGAATGTATTCTGCTTTTGACGAAATCAATACGATTGTCCTATCTGAGCTCATGCAGAAACCTGAATAATCCATAATTCCGCAGTTTCCACGTTCATGAATACTCGAAAACACGATTCACCGTAAATATAAAAGAATCGTAATGTATAAAACAAATGGATAAATTCATTCTTTTTCTTTTTCTTTTTTCTTTCTTCATTCTTTTTTCTCTGTTTTATATGTACGAAAGAATGATCTCATTATAATATATACATATTATACAACGATATATCGACAAAAGCAAAAGTATTCAAAGTCAAACTTGAATATCGGGAATACATTTAACTATTTGTTACAAATGTAAATTAACCAAAATAAATTTGTAAACTTCTGTAGATGGGGAGATAGTGAATTACATATTCTGCATTAGAAATGATTTCCCTAACGTGCGAATAATTGACGAGAGAGAGAGAGAGAGAGAGAGAGAGAGAGAGAGAGAGAGAAAGAGAGATAGGCAAACGATTAAAGTAGATGTTCATAAATTATACAAAATAAAGGTATCGAATGACCTCGCCGCAAACATAATTATTCGAAGACCACAAGGGGACCAGTCCCACCGTGGGTCGTCCGCCTTCTATTCTCTGGACACAGTTCAGGAAAGATCAAAGGGGTTGAAAGCGATGGAGCGCAACACGTAAATCATGTTTGACCACGATGAGCTCTGGTGACGATGGTGATGGTAATGGCGGTGGTGATGGTGGTGGTGGTCCTCGATCGTCGAGGTAGGTTGACCTCGGCTGAAAATCTCTAATCCATGATTCCGCCTAACGAGTCATAAAGAGAAAAAGAGAGACAGAGAGAGAGAGAGAGAGAGAGAGAGAGAGAGAGAAAGATAAAAAGAGAATGAGAGTAGTCAGTCGATCGACATCATCGACAACAGGACACGACATAGTGTAGTACGTCATGTCCCCTAGAAGAGTCAGTACGTTTTCCCGGATGGCCCCACGGAAACCGGACACAATGAGTGATACTTACTTCCGTTGGGCACAAGGCCAGAGAACTCGGAACTGTGGGGGATCAACACCGCGCCTCTTTTCAAACGTTATCTACACTTAGAGAACAGCGATGACTGTCTGTTCGTTCGTTCGTTCGTTCGTTCGTACTCTCTGATCTGTCTCTCGACATCATTGCTCTGCCCCCTACGGCTCGTCTCCGTGACCATTCATCGGGACGATGTATATTTCCTCTCCCTCCTTTCCCTCCATTCCCTCCTATCCCCCTACGTACCAACGTACGGCTTCCATTATTTCCACCGTTCGCACTGTTTTTGACCGTCAGTTTGATTACAGGTGCTAGTCGAGCTGGACGTTAGAAGAGATCGAAACCCGATCATTTTGTTTTAACATCTTCCTTCACAAACTCGACGACGAAGACGACGATATCGGAGAACGAGAACCTTATTATCCATTCATTCACCTTCTTCCCTGGATTCCCTCAGCTAAACCCCAACGTCTCCAAGTCGCTTTTACGGAGTGCTTCAAATGGCATTCAGTTTTTTTCATCGTTGATCGACAAATTTCTTATTAAAAGAGAAGAACCCTTTTCATAGGAATAAGTTAGGAAAGGTAAGAGGAAACTTGTTTAACTCTTCTTCTCTTTTATTTATTTATTTATTTATTTTTCTTTTTTTTTTTTTTTTTTGTTTAAGTATTCCTCTTCTCTCTTTCTCTCTTTTTCTCTTTCTTAATTTTTGATAAACTTTATATCCTCCTAATCCTCTAATTGGAAGGAGGATTTCGTTGAAACATTCAGAAAATAAAAGATCAAAGATCTATAAAAATGTTTTCATTGACTCGATCAAGATTCGAAATATCAATTGATCCTTTTATACTTCTAATGCTTTTAACTTATGTAATAATAATCAAATTAATTCAATATGCAAATTAATATCGCACGACGGACCATTATAATTTATCGTTGCGTGCGAATGTCCCATTAACATCAACGACACATATATACACGGAAAAAGCATACACAGAACACGTATGCATGCACGCGCGCACATACACTATAGTAATCGAATTCGTTCCTGATTCGGTACGGGTATACGCGTAACAATACTACTCGCGTAGTATGACAGAGTTCAAAGCACTGCAACAATAGAACTCCTTTTATGAGCTAAGCTTCGTTGTATCATTTGGTAACAAAAGCTCTCGCAAAAATTGTTATCTCACTCACTCTCTCTCTCTCTCTCTCTCTCTCTCTCTCTCTCTCTCTCTTTATTTTTTTCTATCTCTATCTCTCTGTCTCTCTTTTTCTCTCTTCCTCTCTCTTTTTTTCACTGCAGAGTTTCTTTCTTTTTTTTCAAATGTACATATATACATATATATGTCTCGTAATTCTGCAATATGCTCACGCACGTTAAGCTTTTATAGACAGATTTTAACTTTTTCAAAAAATGTACGTGATTCGTAAGAAATGAAAAAAAAAAAAAAAAAAAAGAATATATGAATTGCATCTATTGAAAATATACTAACACATGAAACATGTAATTTATTCAAAAATATCTAATAGTTAACGTTCCACCTCTTCTTTTCATACGTCGAATAATATCAACGATATTGAATGCAAAGGATTATTGTAATTTACTCTTTTGAAGGAGAGAGAGAGAGAGAGAGTGAGAGAGGGAGAGTGTTTCGTTGTAATTTTACGTGGGACACCTACGTGATCACAAAGGCGATAAACCATAACGTAGTTAACGAGCACCATCATCATCCAACGCCTCCACCGTTGGTGGATTAAATTGGATGGATAGATATTCTCACGTAGGACGATAATTATTTTTTTTCTAAATTTACTAATACACATATTTAAATTTTAAAGATAAATTTCTACTTTCTTTCTTTGATTATTGGTTTCGATTGGAAAAAAAAAAAAAAATTAAAGAGAAGAAGAAGAAAGATTTAACACGGTATATTTTTTCAATCGATTATATAATAAAAAAAAATTTAATCTTAGAAAAACGTTTTTTGTATTGAAAAAAGAAAAACTTTGTGTAATCGATTATTTCTCAATCGAGTAATCGTAAATAATACTTGAAGAATATCGTACAAATACAATCGTAGTATTTATTTTTTGTAAAATTCCTAAAGTGCACTCACCCTGAACACCTCATAAACACTCGTACGTCTCTTATGGGATTATATACTATATTTCTATAATGTTCGATACATCAACGTATATTCCTACGCAATAACAATGTAAAAAGGGATCAGAATACGCCCGTAAAGGCATCGAAGCGTGCTTCCAACTTTCAGCCATTACATTATTAGCCATCCATTATCCTCCATGGTTTACATTAGTCACACAAAATATAATATCAATATAATAATAATTGACAATATAAATGAAATATTATGTTTCAATATTTTTCTAACTTATACTCTTTTCTTTTTCGTGTATTTTTTCATAGGAAACCATTGCCAATGGAATGGCAACTTGACGTTTGAATTATTTGCCCTTAAGAAAAAAAAAAAAAAAGAATAAAAAAGAAACGAAGGAGGAGAAAAAAAAAGAAATAAAACCAAGATGATCACGAGCAATCCATTAAGAATCGTCATCGTCCTCATCCCGTTGTTTATATCAAATTTAATAAACGGTGAGTTGTGAAAAAAAGGAATTTATGAGAGGGAAACAAATGAAAAAAGAATATACCATGAATTCTCGAATATGACGCGTCCTCGCGGATATGCGTACGTTCGTTTTTCTTTTGGAATTTGAAATCGACGAATTCAATTGCATTGCTGGACGAATAGCGAGCGTTCCGTATCGACGGCAGGACGCACAGAGCTCGTGGATATGGATCAAATGATGTCACGTATGCTTGCGAAATTGTTTCGCCTATTGTACGCCCGTCCGTACCACTTATGGCGCGAAAATATGGCATAGATAAAATCGAAATTATTCTGTGATCCACTGAATTTATCCCGCGAGGGAATATAACTTGAATTTTTTTATTTTTTTCTTTCTTTCTTTTTTACGAAAAAGAAAAAGAAAAAAAGAAAACGAAAAGAAAAGGTTGACGCGATAATCGTTCCCAAATGACTCATCGTAATTGTTTTCAGCCCAAACAACATGTAACGGAGGTATTGGCAGAGTTGTTTACGAAAGATTACCTGATCAACAACTTCAGGGATTC